CCAAATGAAAACTGGAAAATAGAAACCAATACCAGTCCATAAATACAAGCCAAATAACATAAGCTCCGGAGTCCATTTCTAGCAGTGCTGTGATTACTTAACCAGATGTCAAAAGTACCAGGTAAAAAATAAGAACAGTCTTCTTAAAGGCAGGCAACGTGAAACTTTTAAAACCATAATCCATCTCTCTGAAAATTCATCAGAAACTTGCACTAACAAACCTCCCAGGGCTCTAAAAATGCAAAGTGATGTATGACTGCATTGGAATTCTAAAATTGTCAATTGATGTCCAGGAGATTTTACATACACACACACACGTTATATACATATATATATATATATACACACAAAAATTTTATATAGTTTAAAAAAGTGATCTGTGCCATACAGCAAGCACTTGAAGCTTTGAGAATATGGTGTTCCACCCTTAAGGAGAAGGGAGCACCAAAGATTCTCGGATGCTCATGGTCAAAAGGAATGGCAAAATTCAGAGGGTCCACAAAGGTTTACAGAGTTTTATCAGTAAATTACACGCTTGGCATGGAAATTGGTATGTTAGTCCCTATCCTTCTAGTATAAGCACACAGTAGTGGGTTTTGGATAAAAGGGTAGAGTAAAAGGGAAGAGAGAGAGAGCTGAATTAAAGAGGAATAGAGAGAAATAAAGGAAGAAAGAGAGAAAAAGAGAGATCACAGGTCCTGGCTCCAGCGTTGATCCAACGGGTGTGTCCAGGGCCCTGGAGCGCACATGTGCCCAGGCTTTGTGGTGGTACCTTTATATAGATAAGTTTTCCCCATCCTGGAGATAAGCTTCTTGCTTTTTATGCCAATTAGTTACCATGCTCAGTCCACTCTTCTAGACCTTTCTGAATGTGGGTTGGAGGGCTTTGGGGGTCTTTGGTGGTCTTGTTCCCCCCCCTACAGTGCATGCCCACTGCTCAACCTCATTCCTGTGCTTGCACTGTACTGTGTTGCGCTGATTTCCAGAAGCTTGAACAAAGATGTTTGTCCCAGAAAAGTGCTCCCCTACCTCCATATGTCCCCCTTCTCCAGCCACATCCTGTTCTTTCTCACAGTATATTATTACCAACAATCCTTTGCTGTTATTAACAACAATCCTTGGTTGGCTCCACGGCTATCCAGCTATCGGTGTTTGAGACATACACATTAGCCTCCTTATCTTTTAGGCTTCTATAGGGAACCCACTCTCAGATTTGGCTACTGATTCTTCTCCTGATGATGTGTAGCAATATTACAGAGTCACATGAATGAAAAGTGCTTTGTGAGCCTGGACTTTGCAAGAACTCATGAATATGTGAATCCCATTACACTCATATCATGCTCTGCCCAGTAAAAAATGCTACTGTGTACTGAGGTGCTCTTATTTAAAGCAGCAGCATACTGTGCACCTAAATGCTCCTCCCGATAAAACTAAAAGCCCGAATCCCTGCACAGAGCGAAATACAGAATACTAAAATCTTTCCTCCTTGAAGGGTGAAACAACTGAAAAGTTGGTCGTAATGAGCTTACGTCTACGCAGCAGTTATATTAACGTCTGCTCCTTTCATTTCCTAAAAATGGCATTTAATGCACTAAACACATACTTGTAAAAGTAAATAACCATAAGTTATCACAGGAAGACACACATCAAAGCTATTGTTTCATGTATCTCTTCTAGGTGTTTCATGGAACATGCCTAACACCTTAAAATGTAATAATAATCATGCCTACATATTTCCCAAGAATATAGAAAACACACAACTAAAATGCAGGAAGGGCAATTTGATATAAGCAGTGTTATTAGCATAAGCTAATAATTAACTCAGCAGTTCCAGAGTAATAAAACTGGCCCTTTGCAATTTAATTGTGCAAAATCAACTACAGCTGAAGAAATTATAGTTCATTAATTTATTTTCTAAAAAAGAAAAGGAGAATACTGGTGTCTTTACCTATGAGCCCATTATGAGGTCAGTGGTGAGAGAAATGGGCAGCTTTCTATCTTTGCAATCTCATCCTCTGCCATGAGACACCACCTTTTAAATTTGATTGACATGGTGGTAACACACCTTAAGGAGGAAAAATGGGGTAGGGGGAAAGAGACTATATGTTTCAGAAGCACTCAGGTACAATGGAAGTCCATTTGCCAAGTGACATAGGACAAACTTTTCAAAGTTGTAGATGTGTCTAAAAGACTTACACAGACATTGCCCGAGCAAGATTTCTCAAAGGCACCAATGCGACATAAAGACAAGATAGCTCAGAATTTGAAGTCAGTTATTCTGGCTATTGGTTGATAGTGCACTGCAGCTACTGCGCTCAGAGATTATTGTGATCTACTAATTGCACAAATAGATTCTTTACCGACTGTCTCTTCTGATACACTTCAAGTTTCTGCATATCGGGAAACCGTACAGGTGCTTCGATTATTTGTAAAATCGCATCGCTGAATCCAATATCACATTAATTTGTGCACCTGAAATGGCTGCAGTGTCATGCAGAACCACAAGATACATTAACATTAGGCAGCAGAACTCATAAAATACCTTCACAGGCTCAACTGTGGCATACTGAAAAAAGTCAATATTTCTTGAAGCAGTACTAAAAAGCTCAGCTGTCTGAACAAGTTCTACATTACTCAGTTTTACAGTAACAATTGAGATAAATAACTATAGTGTCAGAAGCCTTATCTTTCAAAACATTTCTGAAAGGACTTTAATTACCTTGCTCTTGTCTGCACTTATTTGATTTTATTTTCCCCCCTAATAACATGTTTATGATCTTTATGAGGATGCTGCTTTTCTGAAGAGTCATGATGCAAAAATCCATAAAGCAGCTAAGACTGAAGAAGATGTTTTGAAAAGACCTCTTCCTCCAGATCCAAAGTGGACTGACCTAAGCTGCTTTCACTTTTCATCATTGTCCTTATGTCAGCAATAAATGTGCCAAAGTTCACACAAGCCCTCCCTAATCCAATTTAAAATGAGCCGGCTTAAATCACAGTGAGACAATTAGCCACAAGAACTGCTACAGGAAGAATGTATCAGTAATATCTTAAACTACCTCAGCTATTTTAAAATTGGGTTTGTCCACACCTCTACTTTAGTAGAGATGTGCATCGTGCTGCCAGAGCACTTTTCAGAGGAAATACAGAGGTCATTTTGGTTCAAGTTGCTTCAACAGTATCAGTACAGTTAACGTAGTACAAAGGGGCAGAGATAAAAATCTGAAAATATTTCAGGCCAAAACCAAGCAGTTTGGTAGCTTACACAGTAGCTGTGGAAAATAGAACTGTATTTAAAAATTTAGAATTAAAAGCAGCCACAAGAAACTAATTTTGTTCTTAAAAAATAAAATGTCCAAGCAGGTCATTCAAGGAAGAAAACAAACCTCTCTGATTTCTGTCTCAAGTTCCTCTTTTGGCATCTAGTGACTCAGGATAAAATACCTGTTCCACTAATATCTATTTATAGTTCTCAAAAAAAACCCAGGAATTTTTTCCCCCAGTATTAAAATTCTCAAATTCAGGAGCAATAACAGCACAGAGTATGTTTCTCTATCTTGTTGCTGTTATTAATTAAGTCCCACTTACTGTTCCTGAATTGCTGTTATTTAGTTGCACTAGATGGGTGTGTTAGAAAGTAATGGAAGATGGATCAACAGCTGTAGTTATTATGAAAATTATGGCAGTACATGAGAGGAATTGCAGCTGCTCAATTCATGCAAATAAGAGCTACTTGACAATGCCTATAATTACACAGTATGTCAAAACAGCATAGCTGGAGTATAAGTAGAGACTACATATTTTAGAAAGCCAAAAGATTTGCATTTCATTATGTTCGCATTTCCTAAACTCCTATTTAGGGATAACAAGATGCACATTCTGTCAACGGGCTCACAAATACAGAAAGGTCTACTGAGTCTCCCAGGTGCATTGTCCTGTCAGTGCTGCAGCTGTCAAACACGGAGTCTCTCTGCATGTTTCCCAGGCATTTGTAATACAGCCTGTGCTCACAGTCAGAGCTGGGGTTTCAGCTCACCGTGTGCTGAGTAGATACGAAGAAAGATCCAGCCACAGCTACTTTCAAAGCAAAGGAAGATTGCTTCCGAGTGGCTCAGACAGTGCAGATACCATCTCCTCTATTCAAAGAGTGTTCCTGATATCTGGCACAGCACTGTAATATTCTAGCTTACTTTGCTTAGTATTGCTTTTGAATGTACCTACTTTCAGCTTGTTCTGGATAATTCCTTTCCCACTTCAGCCACTAAGGCCCTCTTAAAGAGCACATTTCCTTACATAAAAACTTCACTAAAAGCTCCTCATTTTCAGAGAGGCTGCCCAGAGTGCTCATCCTGTTACATCTGTAGGCTATTTGCACATTAGCAATGGTTTATATAAGGCAACATTTGATTATTTTAGTTTCTTCCCATTCCCGTTCTGCCTCTTTAACTAAAGCCCTTTGTTTTTCACTAGTTGTTTCATGCTGGCAAATCCCTGCACGGAAAAAAACAGGGACCCGTTTTTGCTTTCCCCTGTATCTCAAACTCTTGTTTCAAGAATTGTAGAGCACATAGTTACATTACAAATAATAAACCCAGAACAAAAAATATCAGATTAATTAAGAGATTTATTTACTTATTTTTTACTTTTGACATTTACATAAAGAGACACAGGGAGATACATAATTTTGCAGCCCTCCTACCTGTCACTCTGGGGTGAGTTGGACCTACTTGGTTTATAACACAGGTGGTTACTAAAATTGCTTACTGCTCTTGTTTTACATAGCAATTCAAACTGCATAACCTGGCAGTAAATAATCTTTCCTCTGTACTATCAGGACATGCACTTTCCTGTGAAGTCTGCTGACAAAGTCTAGTTCCAATGCCTTGGAACCCAGGGACATGACTCTTGGTAAAAGCGGTACCTCAAGCGTCCCACATTTCAAATGGACAGTCACTAAATCACTGACCCAACATAACAGCTACTCAAATTGTTAGTCTTACCTGAAATCACATGCTGTGGTAAGTTCTGCTCCTCCTCCAAAAGCTTTTCCTTGGACTAGTGCAACACTGATCAAAGGCAACCTACACAAGAGAGTTTTGCAAGCAAAATTCAAGCTTTTAGTCTTTTAGAAATTAGAAAGCAAGTCAACCAAACCATCTCTATAGTAAAAGTTTAGAAAAATATATTGTTCCAATTCATTTAAATAACAACATCTTTGTGGGCAAGCACAATACCAATTCACTTATGTAAAAATTACTATTGCATAATTGATATGGAATCCCAAAATTAAACAGCAAGACAGAGATATCAAATGGAATCAAAACAAAGAAGATCATGTACTGAAAAAATACATGTTATGAAACATACCTGCTATAGATTATACCTGCTATAGATTATATAGACTATCTGCAAGGAGGAGTGACAGGACAGCAACACAAGATTCTACTTTATGCCAGTACACTACAGAAAGCAGCAGAAAGGGACGCAAAGGACTGAAGGGCTGAGTTATCTAAAAATAATGAGATTTACCATGACAGCCTCAACAGCTTCTTCAGAGTGCTACTATCTCAGCGATCAACAAAACTTTTTTCTTTTTTTTTTTGAGAACAAAACCATTTAAGGAAAGTAGCAATCTGTTACCTTTGTTGGTGTGGTATTTAATCATGTTCAAGGTAATTCAAAGGACAGAGGGAAGGAAGAGTATGTTTCCCCACTGCCATTTTGAAATGAATACTAATGAACAGTGACTTTGGATAAGCCAAGTTCCCTAAGAAATGAAGACAATTGGTTAGTCACAGAATTTGCACGCTGATACAGCTGTTTCATCTTTTACTATGAAGAAACATTTAACTTATTGAGCAGTTTTCAAACCACATTCAAAAGTCAGCTTCCCGATCGTGACCACATGTTTGGTTTTAGTTCTACTTTAACAGAAGCACCAATACTTTCTTTTGGCCCAAGTTCACTTACAAGCTGCAGCATGCTTCATACAATACATGGCACGTGAACCCACTGGAAGAGGGCAGCCTCATTTTTCCTGTGGTTTATGACAAACCAGAAGACATGGGTCCAAGACCCCTACATCCACACTTTGATCCATTCAAGGCATCTCTTTCAGGATCACAGTCAGCATCAGCTCTCTCTGAGGGAGACTAACCCCATCTACAACAGATGTCCCCAGAGAGCAGCTCACTGCTCCCCCTGAAGCACTGCTTCAATGTCTGCTAAGTCAACACACCTGAGGTGTGGGGGGGTTAATCTTCACACACATCCTCCTCTGCTTTGCATTTTGATTATATGGAGACTCAAATTGATTCCAATCCTGAGGATTCCTTATAGTACTACTACTATAAGTCTCCTGGGCAATTTTACAGATAAAAATGTTAATTCATAACACTTTCTCATATAGATTATTTGAAAAGAAAGAATATTTGAAAACAAAGAGTATTTATCTTCAAAGAGCGCTGAGCAGAAAAAACACAGACTTTACCACTAATGGATTTAATAGGGAAGCTAAATTTGAAGGAATGGAAAAAGTGTTTTTCAGAAGTGCCAGATGGTAAAACTGAATACATTCCTCTTATGAAGTGGGAAGATTAAATAGATATATCAAACAAACGTTACCTGTGTAGGCTGCATAAGCTGTCCCTGCTTGTTATTTAAGAGCTACCAACTTTCACAGAGTTATAGAAGTCAGTTCCTGAAAATTTGAGGGCCTAGATTTCCTTAACTCTAGGTATCTCTTAGCTCTACACATGTAAGCCTAGGTTGGTTTTTCCTGTTCTGATCTCTGGTAAGTCTAATAGTTGCAAAATTTCAAGGTCTAATTTTAATCCATAAATACCTACCTGATTAACATGTGTGAATGCAAGGTCTGGGATTCAAAATTACATACTTAAAACTGTGTATTAAACTTTAAACATCTCATTAAAGAGTTAGCTAACATACATTCCAATACTTATAATTACTTCATAAAGAAGGGTAAATAAAATATATTACCTCATAAGTCTGGTTAAGGTGTTTTGCATAAACATGCACATATTCATCCCATCCTACAAAGAATAAGAAATTAAAAAACATTAAGTGATCTTAATATGAAGCAATTAAACACACAGATGGAGAAGACAGGAGTAAGTATTCTTTATATTTAACTTTAGCTGGGTTTTTTCTCTTTGGTTCATCTTGCTCAAATTCCAGTCCAACCCCACTATGCGCAAATAAAAAACTGAGTATAAATTAGGTCAAAAAAATAAAATCAGACCTCAATCAACTTATATAAACTTCAGTTATTATTAAGCCACCATTAAAGTAATTGCAAAAGGAAGACTCTTCTTATTTCATCCTTTATGTTTTAGTTCACCTTGGAACCAACAGTCAATAAGGTAAAATTGTTGCCTTCTAAGCTGTACAAGAACTAAAGGGCTCCAAATAAAGTAAGTTGCTGCTACGTTCAAACCAAATATTTCTTCCTACAACGTGTAATTAAAATGTGGAAAACTTGGCAGCAGGGTATTACATCCTCTACATGAATTCAAGAACAACTATATAAACTCATGACAGAAAAAGTGGCAAAAGGTTATTACATAGAAGGTAACACCTCTAGCTCTAGAAGTCTTAGTCACAAGTTGCTGGGGACTAAAAGAATATTTTAAAGCTGAATCATTATCTATCTGCCTCCCCTGTTATTACACTCTTTCTCAGACATCTATTATTAACCAGGAACTTGACAAATAACTGGGTTAAATGACTCAGTATCACCCTGTTCGTATACATACTGAATTGAACTACACATACCATTTACTACAGATTAAATAAAAAAAAAGTTTGGACACTGCAGAAATAAAAAACCCTGTAGGTAACAATTTCAGCATGTCTTTTAAATCACAAGTAAAAATAAAAAAATCCAAGCAAACCAAAACCAACAAACATTTCTTTATTGGAATTTAATAATTTCTAAAACAACGTTTTACAGGGGTTGGCAAGTTAAAGAATCTGCCTGAATTAAAAGCTTCTGACTCATGCTCCAGGAAAAGAAAAGATACCCAGTAAGTCTCCAGTACATCTTTGGAGTAGGATCTTGAAATAATAGTAGGTCAATTTCAGGTGCTACTCTGTCCAAAGTGAAACAGCATTATGGTGTATAGGCACAGATCTCTGGCAGATATAAGCTGCCACAACAATCACTATACAAGAACCAGTGAATTCAGTTTTATTACACTAAAGGCCTGCTTGAAAATTTCAGCACATATTGATCTACAAAGAGGCTTTTAGTTATGACTCTAGCCATCTACACCCATTAAGAACAGTAGCAATATCTCCATTCTAAATTAAAGAACATGATAGCTATTTTAATAGCTAAGTTCAAAACCTACACAAACATACAAGATATCAGTTCTCAGACACAGACTTGCACCATTCCCATACTATAACTGTCAGGATGAAGCTGCATGAAAGCTTTTCAGAAAACATAATTTTCCACTTCATCACAGCAGAGTCCTTGCATTGAAACTGGCCCTCTCAACTCATGTTGAAATCCAAAATGGTGATTAAAGATTAATTCCAGAACAGACCAGCTTGATAAACACAATTATGACTGAGCAGACAAAAGGTCTTCATACTCTCAGGTGGTAGAGAGATTACTGTGTAACCCATGGAAAAAATGCCCACACAGAAAACACTCTGAAAAAAAAAGAATCACAATTTCTTGAGTCCTGGCCAATACACCCTTCAAGACTTCCTGATTGTAGTGGGTTTCTGTGGCTGGGTTTTGGTAGCAGGGGGGCTACAGGGGTGGCTTCTGTTAGAAGTTGCTAGAAGCTTCCCCTGTCCCGTGGAGCCAATGCCAGCCGGCTCCAGGATGGACTTCCTGCCGCTGGCCAAGGCCGAGCCAATTAGAAGTAATAGTAACGCCTCTGTGATAACACATTTAAGAACAAAAGATTGTTGCGCAGAAGAAATTCCAGCCAGGGAAGAGTGGAGTGAGAACATGGGAATAACAATGTAGACATCAAGGTCAGTGCAGAAGGAGGGGGAGGAGTGCTCCAGGTGCCAGAACTGTGGCCCCTGCAGCCTGTGGTGCAGACCATGGTGAAGGAGGTTGTCCCCCTGCAGCCCATGGAGGACCATCGGGGTGCAGAGACCCACCTGCAGCCCATGGAGTAAGTGGATGCATGAAGGAGGCTGTGACCCCGTGGGAGGCTCAGGATAGAGTGGGGTCCTGCCGGAGACCTGGGGCCCGTGGAGAGGGAAGCCCACACTGGAGCAGGTTTTTCCCGGGTAGGACTTGTGGCCCCTGTGGGGGACCCACGTCAGTACAGCTCATTCATGAAGCACTGCACCCCATGGAGGAGTGACCCACAAGACAGCAGTTTGGGAAGAGCTGCTGCCCAAGGGGTCGACTCAGGCTGGAGAAGTCCATCAAGGACTGTCTCCCATGGGAGGGACCCCACAGGAGCAGGGGAAGGACTCCTCTCTCTGAGCAGCAGCAGAAACAACAACTGACCGTAACCCCCATTCCCTGTCTCCCTGAACCACTGGGGGGAGGAAGAAGAACATGGAAGGAAGGAGGGGTGGGGGGAAGGTGTTTTTTTAAGACTGTTTTATTTCTCACTCTTTGGCTCTTATCCTGTTAGTAATAAATATAAGTACTACCCCCACTTTGAGTCTCGTTTTGCCTGTGAAGGTAATCAGTAAGTGAGCTCTCCCAGCTCTTATCTCTACTCATGAATTCTTAGCTGGTTTTTTTTTCTCTCTCCTGTCCAGTTGCAGAGGGAGAGTGAGAGAGTGGCTTTAGTGGGTACCTGGTATCTGGCCAGGGTCAACCCACTATACTGATAAGAAAAATAAGGCTACTATTCAGATAAAATACTCTAAGAGATATTCATTGCAGTCTAGTGGAATAATTATATTTTCAGTTCTAATACTGTCCTTGAAGTAAGAAGAAATCTAATACGCAGAAAAGGAGGTAAAATATAGTATGCAGTACATATGGAAGAAAAGGATTAATAGCTTGCAGTGGGGCTAGGGGAGACAGGGAAGAAGAAAGTCATCTTCATAAAGTAGAAAACTGTAACACTGGCTCTTATTGCTGCAGGAGCTTACAGTCCACTTTCGTGACAGATAGAACAGTATTTCCAGATTATCTCCAACTGCTCCAAAGTCCTCCCTCCATGGCTTACTTCTTGGGAACCTCTGTCCTAGGGCTTCTAGACTAGGACCAAGGAAAGCAAAATTCTCCTTCATGCCTTCTTTCTCTCATCTGTCCTTTCAAGAGCCACTCCTGCTTTTCGGGTAGCCAGCTTTTCAAGTCTCACTCCAGAATGAGGTTCTCACTCTTGGGAACCAGGCTTACAAAAACAGAAAGAAAAGTATTTTTTTCTTTAAATTCCACTACTCATTTGCCTTCTGTGATTTGGTTACATAATGTTAGCAAGTCTGCAAAGAAGAACAGGCAGGGGACCTGAGGTATTGTTTCACAGTTAGAAACAACTGAACATGCGAGAAGGTGGAAAAGAGAGAAGAATAAAGAGGAAGAGGAGGATGAAGGGCCACTAGGGGGCATGAAAATCCTTCAGCATTCTGAGCCATTATTCTGCCTATCCTGCACCACAAGGAAAAGCAAACTGGATTTAAAATCATGAAAAATACAATCTTCCCTCAACCAACTGGTTGAACAAAAGTGTTTTCTGCAATTAGTAAATGCTATGGACTAAAGAAGCCTTGCAAAAAAAGAAAAAAAAAAGAAAAAAGAAGAGAAAAATATACCAGTTCAAGGCATGAAGCTATTCACTATTTTTTTTCCTTAGAGATGCCTGTGGACAGAAAACTTAACCTGAAACCACAAAAAACTCTCTCACCTGCAGCAATCTAGAGAGAAGAGTTCTGTAAGACTAAAGAACAGCAAATGCTGTTCCATATTTTATTAAAGCTTTATTTAATATAACTATTAAATCCCAGCAAATAGACAGTTTAGGATCTTGCTATTATAAACAAACTCTCGTTAAAAGATAAATAGCTTGAACTCTCCAAAGGAAATAGAAAGCAACTATGTTTAACTATTCGTGGAGCATTTCTAGTGAGTTTTAGACTTTATTTCAATACTAGCATGAGATCTAGATTCTGTGCAAAGAATTTTCAATGAAGTTATAATTAATACCTATACATTTAATTTTGCCCATTATATCTGTTATGGACTCTAATCCTTACAAGAGCCCTCTCTGCCACTGCAGTGGCTCCAAGTAATTTATGTAAACATACAGAGAGAATACTAAACATATGGAAGCAGAATCACTGAGATTTACTGAATGCAGAACTCTGAAGGAAAGCCTAGACTGAAGATAAGAAAAGAACTGGCCTTGCTTGGTTTCAACTCCTTTTCTGTTGCTATAATGCTAAAATAAGCAGATTTTAAAAAAGACAATTAAAAAAAAATCATAGATACATCTATATTTTTAAAATTACCAGTGCTTATAAAGTATCCAAATGAAAACTCCCTCAAAACCATTTATACCTATAAAGCATGAAATTTCCGTATTAAGAAAAGAGCATCTCTCATGGCGTTCCCCAAAAGCAACAAAGTGTCCTATACCCTTTGAAAACTGGACTGTCCTACATATTTTACCAGGCTAGAATTTGGGGGGTCTATGACATTTAGTTTCATCAACAGAAAAAAATCATCACTGAAGACAAATACCAGTTTAACAAGTTTTTGTGTTGGTGTTCGTACTGGAATGTCCAATTAAAAGTTTAATTTGTGTGGTTAAATCCTGAAACTTGAAGCGGCCACAGAAAAGCACCAGGATGTCAGTTACCACAACTGCAAACCAGAACAGGAAGACCCCCTTCTCCTGCAGCTGATAAAGTCCTATTTTACACAGGGCCAAGTACCACACATTAATCCATAAAAAGAATTGCAGCACATGTGAAAGTTGCCAAACGAGTGATGAGCAAAAAATTGCCATCAAACCCCTAACCTCTTCAACCCCATAGTTACACACAAAACTTACCTGACTCAAGTACAGCACAAGAATTGCATCTGTCCTTCCATTTTATGCAGTTCCAAGCACAGTTTTGACAAAACAGAAACCTTTCTGTAATAGCAGCCATGCCACTTAAATTTGCTTTTTTACTTTAGAGTATATGAAAAATTATTACTTGAAACATCAAACTACAGAAGCACTGCTTATCTGATGTGTAAATTCACTATATACTGCTCTGAGAAACTGAAATTACATTTTTAAAAGAAAAGACTAAAAAGAATATGTAGGAATTTACAGTTATGAATCAATTACAATAACATTTAAGTCACAGCTTAAAGGGGCTGCTAGCGTTTTTTCAAGCATTAAAAGCTCCATTCTGTGGCATGTAAAATTGCAGCAGAAGTGTAGTGCAATTCCTCTGTTTAAAAAGAATCTCAGAAAGCTCATTTTTCTCCAAAACCATAATGAGTATTAATACTTGCCTGGGAGTTGGATATTTCTTTGACAGCATTCAAATCTGATCCTGAGCAAAATGTGTTTCCTGCACCATAGACGATAAGGCCTTTGCCATCCGTCCAGTTTTCCAGTTCAGTTATCCTCTCCTGGAGTTCTACCATCATAGTACCTGTCACAAGTGGGGAGAAGCAAAATTTTTAACAGGAAATTATTATCACTATCATTTTTTGTGTTACATTTTCCACCAATAAAACCAAATCAGAATTAATAAGTGATAGGCTTAAAACCACAAGGGAAAGTATCCTGCACACAAGCACTGACATACATTTTTTCATCAAGGGTGCACTTCCTGAAATTCTGAAGGATGTTCTGCATGAATGGTATTTGTGTTCCACTCAAAAAAACCCCCAAAACAAAATAACCAACAACAAAACAAAGCAAAAACAAAACAAACAAGCAAACAAAAAAACCCTCTTTATTTGATTTATTCCTGTTTGCAATTGCATACATTCTGGACACATGAACTTACTTCTTTCCATCCAGATCCGTCCAACTAGTTATTTTGAAGTTTCTGCCATTTCACCCTGCTCAAAGAATTGGCAGAGAACAGAAAAGAACCATGTGCAAGGTGGGCTCAAGGCATAACCAGTTATTGTTAACAAAGATTCCTAAAAAAAGGCCAAAGACCAAACTGTGTTGGAGGTCAAAGACATTTAGAAGTATCCATCCAAAAGAAAATAAAGATATATTTGAAAATAGGAGCAAAGTATCTTTTAGATTTTAAAAAAATCAACTTTCTAAAATGTCTTTCATTCCCTAGCTGGAACCTTTATAGAAAGGATCCCTTTACAAAGTATGTCATTGAACTAGCTTTTTATTTCTAGCTTAAACACCATATTCTCATATATTTGCTTAAGTACCCTTCCTGACAGAGAATTCTACAAACTCGTGTTCCTAAAGCTCATCCTAGACTGCGGCATCTTCCACACCAAGGGAGCTTACCCTACATTAACTTAAAGCTCTTCCTGTCTAAATGCCTATGACTCTGTCCAATTATATTCTTAAGAGGAAATATTTACAGAAACTAATTACAGAAAGCAAGCTACATACAGGCTGATTACACTCAGCTTTACCCTCATTTGACAAGAATTTAGATGGACAGGCCTACCTTCTTCAGATAAAAATGTGCTTTTGATTAATACTATCAAGAGCTCTCATCTGCTAAGAGTGTTGCTTTTTTAACTCTATGCCTGCATGCACAGGACTCATCCTGTTCTGAAAATGCCTGTTAGCAGTCAACCCATGGGAGATTTATTTTTCCTTCCTGTTTGTTTTTCTTGCACTTCCTTATGAAGTAAGCTTCCCAGCACCAGATCAAGAGTGAACACTTAGTCAAGCACTTCCCCCTTAGGCTTGGTCTCAGCCACTGAAATAGCACGTTTTGACAATGTTTCTGAGGAGGCCGATAATTAAGTGGACATTACATATTATATACCAGAATGAAACTGGTTTTTTAACCCACTATCAAATCCAGACAATGATCCTCTAACAAATCCCTGCAGTTTTGCCAGTTCCTTTCCCTTCTGTATTTATAATTTGGCAATGCTTTTTGTGTGCAGCACATTACATTTGCTTTCATTGAATTTAACCTTGCTTATCTTGAGCTCTTTATAGCAAGATCACTTTGAACGTCACACCTCTTCTCCAAAGAATAATCTTGCAAGTGTGAGAGACTGAAATGTTATGGTTAATGACTTAAACATTGTTAAGAAGGACTTTTGTCCACTGTAGCAAACTGCAAAGATGACCATTGAAGCCCACTTCCTGCCAGAATATGCCTCCTGGATTTCAGGGAATTGGACTGTTCCACCTGATAGGAACTTGAGGTAAGATAAAGGTGGTCCAAATCATCCCAGGTCTGAGAAGAAGTAAACAAGGGTGGGGACAAGAATGTAAATCCAAACTCAGCAGCTGTGTTGAAAATCAGCTTGGGGGGGAGGAGGAGAGTTTTTGGGTCTGTGATGGCGAAATCTCTCTTCTTAAGACAGAGGGAGTAAAAACCCATCCTTCCTTGCACAAACTGGCTCAGTTGTAAACCTCCCCCACAGACAGGTGGTATTTTCTACTTAATCTGTCTTTCTGTCAGTCTCTTTCTCTCCCCTCGTCTTTCTCTTTTCTATTTCTTTCTATCTCTTTCTCTCTATCTCACATTTACTGTTAAATAAACCTGGACTATTGACTTCAGCATATGGGGTCATCTACACCTTAATTTGGGCAGAGGCCTCTCTCTAATAATTTTAATAACAGATCTTAACGGCAAGCTCTCCCAGTTTGGGGTCATCTGAAAATTTCAGGACTTCATCTTCTATTTTATCATCTAAGCCATGAATAAAAATACTGAGCAGAATTAGGCCTAGATGAGATTTTTGTGGGTCTTCATTTGAAATGCTTTTCCAGACTGATGGTGCACTTAGCAACTTTTCTGCAAATGCTGTTCAAACGTGTGCATTAACCCTGTGGATTTCACTCATTGCTTATTTGACAAGTCTTCTTACTAGAAAGGTATTTGGGCTGGCATCCAGGCTTTGCTAGTGTCAAATACAGCACAAACACTGTTCTTTTAATAGACAAAGCAGTGAGGTATTGAAGAGTCTTTCCACACAGTATTCCAAGCCAAAAATGAAATGAAGGAACTGTATAAGCCCTTTACATGCAATAGCTCAGAACAAGAGACATTGGCCAGAGCCTGTCCCATTCTCCTGGCACAGGATCCCTTCCATTCCTGTCAACACTGAACTATTATTTTACCAACAGATATAGTCCATGATGTTTGATATAATGATGAGGACACAACACTAAAGCAAATCCTCATTCAGCCAGTCTTGTCTTTCAGTATTTGATACCACTAAGCTCATACTCTTTAGAGAACTAAATCTACTTGGAATAATAATTTGTTTGCATCTTAACTATAATCTGAGAATAAGTGCTTTAAAGTAAATTCTAGAAAATAACATTATCATCATTATTATCTAATTCCTACAGGCTGGCTTTCTTCTCTTTTAAATTACATTCAAGTTTCGTTCAGTGATTGGTTGGGCTGCTGAAATTGGTTCCACCAGGCTTAAACTGACATTATTACCATTTGTTTCCAAAGAGACCATTTCAAACACATGGCTATCAGATTCCAATTAAGAAGAGAAAAAAGGCATAACAACCTCCATATTGCCCATTAGCAATTTGCCAACAATTTTGTTCTGTTTTTGATTTCATGAGTTGCTCAAGCTTAGAATAAACACAATTCCTTCGAGATAAAAAACTGCTGTGTAAAGTAAATGCCTGGAAAATAGAATCTCCCTCAACAGTTTAATGATATGTTGTGGCTTTCTAAAGGAAGCGTACATGTATGCATAAATTCACATATACCACTATTCAGAAGCTCAGAGACACAAAATCAACAGAATTTATTTGCAGGGTGAAGCGGGGTGGGTCAGTAGATCTACAGGCTCTGGCTGATGAAATCAACCATGTCCTGCTGGGGCAATTTAGGGGCTCCTTGAAGAGTATTATTTGATAGACAACAGACGGAAAAGGATCAGGTTCTTGGTTGTCCCTCAGCAACTACAGTTTACAGACAGTAATGTTAAAGTGAAATGAAGAGCAAGATAAATTAAGATGCCATACCACTAACTGCAGCGGCCAAAAGGCCAGCCTGATTTTGCTTCTACTGTCCCTCCTGTTACAACAAAAGTCTCTAGCAGAGGTGTACAGCAGAAAGAAGCACTATTTCTTGAACTGCCACAGTAAGATTTTCCAGAGCAAATTTTTGTGGCTACTACCTAGCAGAATGGAGTACTGCTCTCTACAGGGCTCTACACACTGCTGTAAAACAGAACTGCCTGATCCCATGGCTCATTTGTCATATGCTAATTAGGGTCTGAGACAAAGACAAAACTATTCATTTCCTCAGCAGTTTTTGTAGGTCCTCTTTGCTACTAGAGCATCTAATTCACATACACTAATATGTTATTTTCACAGCAGTCTATAAGAAGAGAAGAGATTATTTTACAGACCACTAACTGAGCCAGAGAGAAAATATCTACTAATTTGGGTGCTTGAGATGTGTGATATGATTTCAGTGCATTAACATTATATAGAACATTGTGTAGGCAAAGAACAGCTATCAGTTGCCTAAATGGCAGCTGCACCTGCTCAGCACTTCAACATATCAATTCTGAGCCCCTTCTGCCAAGCACATAGAAAACAGTTGTAAGTTTCTATTAAAGTTTAGTTTAAGCAATTTGACTTTTACTACACCTGATCTCCATAGCAGACTGGGCTTTATCTGTTCTTTCTCCTTTTGCTATTACATCTCATTTCTCATGCCCCTTTCAACTTCCACAACAAATAAGCTAAGAGAACAGTCTACGAAGTGCAGATTACACTGTTTTGAGTCAAAAACGGAAACCAATCTGCAGTAAAAGAGGAAACTACAATGTAATTGTGATTGTATAACAGCATGAATGCTGAATTCTCAAGTTAGGTAATGATTTTATATATGAGCTTTCGAAGGGAAACAAAAGAAGGCAGACACATCTAGGGGCATTACCACCAATTCTGTTGCTCTACTAGGTTCCTTTCAGCTAACAATCATTAGTTGAAAGGCAAGCGGCTCTACACTTTGTTAGTGTTGCAAGTGTACTTGCTCGCAGCAAAAGAGTAGTGAGAGTTGGGCAAGAAAACAGAACAGCAAAAAAGAAATTAACAAGATTACACAAATTACAAAATATTAAGAGATAAAGACATTCTTAAAGGTTTCTGCACAGCTCCAGCTAAAGCAGATTCAGACCCTCAACCTGTGCCACTCATGTCTGAAGAGAACGACATAAATTGGAATATTCTAGACAGTTAAGGAGAGACAGCAAATATATTCATCTTGGAGAACAAAAAACCTCTCTCACAATACAAGATTAATAAAATAGGGCAATTGGTTTTAATAGATAAGTATTGTCCAGTGTATAAACATATTACATAGATCACTGACCCACAACAGCTGAGAATACCCAGCTCATCTGATCTTTAATTAACCAGTCATTAATATTTATAACATAAGGCAAATGAAGAAGAAATGGAAGCCAGTTTGGGTGAGCGAAAAAGATGAGACTACAGAAGGTTAAGTTACAGGGAAATAAAGTGTAATATATATATAAGTATATAAGTAAAGAATAAAGAAGTAAACTCAGTCATTCCACACCACCTACATAACAAAGATGGTATCTTCTCACCCCCACAAAAATGCCCTCAATGTTTCCAGAGCAGTGATGACAAAATGAGAGGAGATACAAGAAAGAGCACAGTGGCAGAATTGTGCTAACATTTAAAAAAAGGGGGAGAGGCATATTCTGTGAAACAGTCCCTATGTCATTAAGAATTTCTTAAGATTCTTATGACATTTATAGCAAAGTTACTACACAGAACAGTGGACATTTGCTGCACGTCTGAATAAAACTTAAACACTTATTCTTTTAATTAAGAAATGGTAAGACATAGTGTTTCACTTTTTTTAGGCAAAATACTAAAATGGGTAACTGAACAAGGGAAAAGCCAAAACCAACCAGCAATCCCATCAACTAATTAATACCTGTAAAAGCATTCATTAACTTCGGGTTGTTCAAGGTAAGTATTCCAATGCCATTATCTTCTTTGGAAAGGTTGATGGATCCACCAGCAAATTGTTGAAGTTTCTTCTTTATCAATTCTTCCTCATAGCCATGAGCACCATTATACAGTGACAACTTTCTCTGCTGTAGTATCCTTTCCTTTGTAGTCTGAAGTAAGTTCTTCCACAGAGGAAGGGCCATTTCTGGAAATATATGGCGTGGGGGAAAAAATCAGGAAATTTCCTTTGAAATTCACTTCAGTCCTCTGACAAAGAGGGAAGTAGGACAGTAGAAACTGATAAAAAGGTGATGAAATCCTAAAAGTCTATAGAAATCACTGCAGACTGTATTTGCAAAATTCTTAGTTTGAATCTACTCCCACAAAGTTAACGAAGGAGTTTTATGGATTTTAGTAGTTAAGCCAGAAATTAGCATATTTTTAAATGTTTTCTTGTAAAAATTATTGAAAAAGTATTTGTGAACAGAACATGAAAGAGGCTCAAGAACTATAGTAAGACTTTTCTGTATTCCACTAGACCAATTCACTCTGTATTAATCTTCCAATCCCTCCCTCACCCTTTCCCCCCAAAAAATACCAAAAGCCCCAAACACCACACCTGTGATGGAGGAAAAATACTATCAAATCCCCTAGTTTTCAGGATCTGGATCTCCTGCTTTTCTGTAAGCAACTATTACAGCAAGACCTTCCCAAAAGAAATACTTGAGGAACATAAAAATTAAGAACTGAAGACCATTCCTATATTGAAGTCTGTTTCCTGTCACTTAATTCCATTAACAGAGTTCATCTTAAAACTACTTAGTCTGCTAGCCTCTGATAGTGCACTTCGAGTTGATTGCACTTGAGCACCAGATCCTGTGCAGTACTCCAAAGGATGAGAAGTGTACAACTGTATTATGCATTGAGCATTACACTTGCCTTTTATACAGGTACATAATATTGGTAAACTATTTCTACGTACCAGTATACCCATGGCTTATTCCTCTGCTGTTTCCACTCTACAGTGCATGACTGTATATCAGACAATAATAAGAAAGGAGTTATATTATTCTTGATCTGCATCTCTGCCTTATTTTATTTACTTTGGAAAAGGGTCTACTGGACAAAGTGGTTTACAAGTGATTTGAAAGAAACAGAGTAAAGCCTGAACTGGAAACAGTTGATCTGAAAATAAAGTCACCTTAGAAGCCACTCAGAGTGGGAATCAAAAGAACCCTCACAGGACATGGAAAAAGGTTTGTTATATTTAAATCTTGCAATTTGCTAGAGTAGTCCTACCTTTTCCCCTTTTTAATATACACAGCCATTCAGAAGACATGGTACGTGCTCACTTTTTTGATAACTGGAAAGAGACCTTCTTTGTTTCTTAATCATATTTGGCAGAAACAAGATTCTTTCAAAATTGGCAGCAGCTCTTGGGAAGTTTTTCTAAGGTGAACCCACAGCACAAACACATTCACTGAGACAGAATTTGGTGACAGCTATATTTTATGCTCTGTTCAGGGCATCTTACAGCTTACAGACTCAAGTTTTTGAAAACATTTATTACATAATCACGAACAAGCAGATGCACATTATAAGCTAATTGCATGTGTTTTTTAATGAAAAAAGTGAACAGTCCTGTCAGGTGAACACTTACCTTGTCATTGGCTGTACCATTCTACACTAAACTGGAAAAAGCTTTAGTTTGTGCAGGTATAGTCCTCATTGAAATGGAGGAGGAGTTTGCAGAGCAACCACACTGTGGTATATGAAGGAATATGCAGGAATACCAAGCAATTTTGAAGAGCCATCTATGCCAGTACATTCATGCCTGTCCTGCCACATTGCCCCCACCAACAGAACACTATCTCACAAGCTCACCACAAAGAAACAAGAAAGGCCCACACAAATCTATGCATTATAAGGTCATCTACGTGGGAACAGGTTAAGGGATGATTTTTTAACATCTGTTGAGACACAAGGTTTTAATCTGTAACAATCAACTTTTCTAAAGTGAAAACTAATAAAACTAACAAAAATTTAATCAAGTTGAAATCTAATTGAATACAAGATTCATTACTTCATAAATAACATTCCCCAACTGCTGCTACACCCAAACACTTTCCATCTATGCACATTCTAATACAGTCTGCAACTCTTCAGCCACTACCTTTCAGAGCTTTTAAAATCACTTCTCTTAGTAAAATTTTATTTAGAGATTGAAAATGGGTTTCCAAAGCTCATTTCTCAACTAATTAATTCTTTTTATATTCAGGCTCTCAAAAGGGAGACAGCCTTCCCTTTTCTCTAAAACCTCAGTAGTCATTCCTCAGCATACATTGATGCAATAAAACTTTCCATCCAGCTCAGGAGAGAACAAACATTAAATACATGGATAGTGCAGGCTTTCCTTGTAAAGCATAGCTTGAACAATCAGCTCTCAACTTTTAATGATTACAAAGTATCCCCAATCCTCAAAGGAAAACAGACTAACCGGAATTCTCTAGGAAGCCCCAATGATTGGCTTGAAAGCAAAGTATGGGGGGGGAGAAGGCTGTTCTGTTAACCTAACTCCTTGCCAACAAACTTTTTTAATGACTTTTATGCATTACTAGATTTCTCATGACAAGAAATATACAGAGCAAAACAGACTTAAGATACGGAAATTTTATTCCAATGAAAAAAGAGTCTGTAATTTTCAGCTGTGTGGTTATACGCATTAACAGCTCTTTAATATTATCACTATGGTAATAAAGAGCATCAGCAATTTCGGGATTAGAAAACAAATTGGACACCACTGCCAGCTGATCATGACTCATGGTTAATGACTCATGCAAGGTATTATCATTTAATTATTTTCTTTAAAACCATCTCTTACAGTACTGCTTAGTACCCAATACTTTTTAAAATAAAAATAAGATTATTTTAACAGCTCAGTCTGAGAGAGCTAACCACTCAGGAAAAGCATGATATTTAAGCTAGAACTCTCTCAGATTAAAAGGATTTCTGCTGATCTCTGACAAACAACATCCAAGCTTTCAATCAATACAGAGCACTCGCAATCCACAGCATGACTGAGATTAATTTTTTTGTATTGTAAGTGAAAGCAAGTGAGACAGACGGATGTTACAGTAACATTTACAGTGTTGTAGGACCAGCCTAGAGACATTTATTAACACTAAAATTTTCAGATTTTCAGTTTAACATAATCTCATCCATTTAGACACACTTCTAGAAATGGAGTCTTAGTCTAATTTCAGAAAGTCAGACACGCTATACTCATTAACATCTCTAGCACAGACAGTTTATGCACAGTTTCTACAGTGAAAAAAAACCTGACAATAACAGTGGTTAGTTAGCACCTTTCAAATGTTTTGAGTGCTACAGCTTTACGTATCACTGGTGACAACTAAGATATAAGCCAATAGTATTGACATCAATAGTTGTTCATTCCACAGTTATTGTATCTCTTACATAACACAACAGTTTAAATCCCATTTGGCACTCAAATGATTTTATAACACCCTTGCCTGTGGGCTAGCAGACTGTGGGTTAATATGAGCACCTATTGAATGTCAGCACTTCAATACAAAGGAATGACACGTATTATGCAAGAGCGATACATGTATCTACATACAGACAATCTATGCACTTTTGTGTAAGCATATGTATCAGAGTCCTTCCGAAAGCCTCTTGTAACTGCCTACTTAAAAGTCACACCTCACAATGTTAATAAAAAATAGTACTAACAGGGATAACACCAACATCAATATTACCTGAGCAGATTCTGGGAAATTAGTAAGCCCCAACTCTTGAACAAGCACATTTGCCCTTGCCATTAACCAATACTCTGTTGCAACTCCAATTATTCTCTTAAAACATGCTGTATCAAACAGTAACCTCCAGCAATGTTGCCAGTTGCAACTGCCACTGAGCATAAAGATAGCTGGCCAGAGCAATGGGGAAGGGCTGGAGGTAGCAACTTCCTGGATGGGTAGAAGAACTAAGACAAACTAGAGACCTGAATGTCGGGAGACCAAACGAGCATTCGAGCTGCCTGCTCAAACAAGAAACACTGCACTACAGAGCAAATTAAATCAGCAAGGTAAGGTACATGAACAGGGAAAATCCCAGCTCAAAAATGGTGCCTGAATTACTGACACAAGTCAGGGAAAAAGAAAAGAGGGAGAAAAGATGCAGGGATGTGTTTTCAATACATCAGGGAAATAAGTGCACCTTTGTATGTGAGGCAGGATGTGACAGGTGTGATGTGCAGATATAGTTACCGCAAAAAAATAAGACATCAACTGAATTTCTGGGTTTGGATGAAGTGTAAGAGAAACAAAGGGATTTAACAGACAAAATCCACAAAAGAAATCTCAGGAAGGAGAAAATATTCAAAAGGCATAACAAAAACAACGAGAAAGGCACTTTTGTGACACTGCCAAAGGTGTTGAGGGCAGCTGACAGGTCAAGAACAGGACAAGTTGACTTGATGAAGTCCTCAGGCAGCTGCATTTTCATTGCACAGAAGTCCAAAGACAGGTAAGAAAGGTCAGAAGATGTGAACTGAAGATGATGATGATTTACAACTCAACCCAGTGTGCATGTCTTATCAGTCACTTTAGAAGGCATTAATTAGTAATAGAGAGCAGTGACCATGACTGTCAGATGCTTTACCACATCCCTGCAGTTACTGACAAATGAATGGAAAGCAAGTGGTGACCCAGTGCTGAGGACTGGCACAACTGATCCTATAACGTGAAAACAGATGAAAAAGCAGAGTGATGGAGAACCAAAGCATGAAAATAGGGCATTTGTACAAAAAAAAAAAAAAGTAGGTTGAAAAGGAGTGAAAGTCATTAACAATGAGTGGAACCTGGGATGGAGGATGATAATGGCAGGAAAAAAAAAGAAAATAAATTCTTATGTTGGACAAAGAGAAGAGATTCAAAACCAGCAAGATCAAAGGGGGTCAGCTTGGATGCAAATTAAGACAAGAGCATAGGTCTCATAGTGAAGAGGAATCTCTGTACCCTGTCTTCAGACACAAAAAAGGTGTAGGAAGGAGGTCTCACATGCAGGGTTCCTCTGTTGCCAGTTGTTTGTCACCACCCCTCACCTGAAGGTCACAGAGCCCTTCATCTACCTCATCCACTTCTGCATCTCTGCTTTCCTTCCATGATGCACAGGTTATGTTAACTTAAACACCTCACCCAACAGGTTCCCCCACTCTCATAATTACCAGATGAAGCAAGATGAGGGCAGTCACCTCTCCAGCTGGCTTTCCTACTGCTGAAAGCAAGCAGTGAGTAGATCTTAAGTATGCCAAGGGATGATCAGCAGAAAACCTACTGACAAAACATAACTTACAAATACAGAAACTAAACAAAGCTGGAGAACTGAGGAAATTCTTCCTCCCTGGGAAGGGGACTGATCCCTCATGCCTTTCTGGAGAGGTCATGGGTCTCAAACTTGCTGAACCTTGTTCAAATTTTTAATACATTGTCTCTCGTACCCACACTGCAGATAAATTGGATGGGATCAACAGTCCCTACAGTTCAGTGAGAAGTTACTTAAAACAGGCTTTAGAAATAGCTGGTATTATACAGGACGACTTTTTATCCTCTGTATTACTGTTGAGAGAACAAAAGGTTTGGGCCTCCTAGTTTCTAGATGACAGCATTAGAAACAAAGTTTATCCATCCAGAAGCTGAAAGAACAAGAAGTGAGAAGATGTCCAAATTAACTAACTGAAATGGCATCAAATAATGCACATGTGAAATAAACTGCAGGAACAAAAACCTTTTAAGACTGTAAGTAAAAACCCCTCTTGTCTGTGGTTTCAGTTTTAAGCTGGCTTACTCTTTACACCTCTTTTCTGCTTTTGTCTCTTTTTTCCCTTGTTATTTTCATTATTTCTGAGCAGCTCAATTCTGGGGATAGCAAGCTATTCGGTTTTCCAAATTATTTGTTCTTTGCTTAGTTTTGTATTTTTTAATGATCCCTGCAGGGTAGGGTTTAGATGTGAATTGTCTCTCTGTCTTAAACAATTACATTCTCTTTTAATCACATTTTAATTATTTTTAAGAGTAGTCAACAAATCACAAAGTAACATACCAAAGCCCACAGAAAAATAAAAGGATGCAAAACAGCAGAAAAAAGGAGCCTTTCCATGAACACACAATAGTACCTAAAAACATTTTATTTTTGTCACATGGTGAGTACAAGATTCTGAGTTTCACAGTAGAGGGTGAGAGCAAGAATCTGTTATGTTCTGGAAAAGACACTCAGGCCCTTTATTTTTTAATGTTTCGTTAATGTTTTTAAATAAAAAATGTTAATTTTTAATGTTTTGAACCTCTGAAGAGGTTCTCTTCACCCCTGTCAAGAAAGGGCCCTCTGTAACAGTGACAGAAAGCACTTTAAAGTTCACTGCCCACTAGGTGTGTTTTAGAGCCCTTTAAGACAAGCAGATCCACAACTTCACAGGAATGGAAACAACCACAAACCAACTCACCATTTGCCTTTCAGTCACTAAATCCTAACCTATAAAAGCATGAATTCAATTCTAGCTGTAATCACAAATATTGACGCTTTCCCAATGATTAATTTGCCCAGAAAACTGTAAAGAAATTTTGCAGTCAAGAAGTGCTCAGAATTCCACTTAGTACACTGTTCTTTACTCTTGCTCTCCTTACCACCACCATCCATAGATGCTCCTGCCAACAGTAACACCAAAACCACATCCTGACATGTGAACTGGCCATGCAGCATGATTTTCGTGCTCCTCCTGTAGCAACATTGGGAACCAGAAGCACACCAGGACTGCCTGTCACTGGCTTCCTTGTCTCTATGCGCTAAATTTCGGAAAGCACAGGCACCTTCCCTGCATAGTATCACCCCGGGAAGAATGTGAAGGCTTGAGGGGCCAAGGGGTGGAAATTCCTTCCCCAGCAGAAGTTTCTTGCTGCTGACCTTGCGCAGTGCCAAAATCCCGACCAGTGCGCTGTAGCACTTGTCCTGACAGAGGAAAGCTTTCTCGACGCAGCCTATTTTTTCTTTTCTTCTTTTTTTTTTTTAAACAAAATTAGTTATTTTAAATCAACCGTCAAGGAAGGGCTCAGTGCTGAGCAGGGCCGAAGCGCCACCCGAGGTGTCTGGGCGGAGGCCGTGGGGCCTCGCAGCACAGGACATTCCCAGGCAGAAGCACCACAGCACCCAGCGGCCCGCGGGGACCGGGACACACCGCGCCCGCCCCGCCGCCGGACTCTGCCCCGGCGTCCCGCAGGAGCCCCTGTTTCCGCCTGGAGAGTGGAGCCCGCGGGCGGGCACTGACCTGGCTCGACCAGGCACTAAGCTGGCCCCGCCGCTCCCTCCCGGCGCCACTGCAGCAGCGCGCGGCGGGCGGTGCTGCCGGGAAAGCGGCCCGGCCGGGAACCACCGCCGCCGCGGCCTCCGTGCCGGGCCCGCCGCCGCCCGCCCCTGCCGCGGGGCGAGCGCCGGGGCTGCCCCAGGGGTCAGCAAAGGGGGTTAAAGAGCCTATGGAGCCCCAGTGAGTTGGAGGCAGGTTTGGAGTTGGCAGGGTCTGCGTTCTTCCGTGCCACGTCTGTAGACGGGTGTCCCAGAAAGCCGAGAACTCTGCCTAAATTTAAGCACTCTTGCCGCCGAAGGCGCTTGTTAGCTCCCAAGCTGCTAAACGCTACATGAGCAGGTCGTTATTGTTGTTGCCTCCTGCACTGGGGGCCTCTATCGCTAAAAACCAAGCTCTGGGTTTCTATCCTATCCAAGCCAGTGTAATTAAAGATCTTTGTTTCTCCGCTGTCTCTGAACAACGTCTCGCCGTAAGTCGCCCTAGTCAGGACATGGATCTCCGCCGGGAGGATCCAGCCTGGACCGATGGGGCTGCTCGCTGGCCTCCCGCCCACCTCGCTCTGCCTGGTGGTTGCCGTAGGCAGGAGAGGTGTTAGTTCCCTATCCATGTTGCCATAAGGCGAGACTCGGGCTCCCCGTGTTCGCGTATATCCATTTTACCTGCCAGCCCAAGTGTGAGCCCCTTCCAGCTGTCCTTTTCCTCACCACTGTGCCTCCCCAGCTTCAGGTGCCACTCACCTGCACCCACGCTCCAGCATCTGGGCCAAAGTGCAGAGCCAGCTGCAACCTACCCTGGCATCAAGCTGTAATTTTATGTAAACTTGCAGCTGGCATAAAATAGCACTGTCGCACACAGCCCTGTCCTCTCTGCTCTTGGTTTCCCTTCTTGGAAGAACAAATGCTGCCACACCAGCAGCCAGAACAAGGGAAATAAATTGTTTCAATGTAGATCACGTTGTGTATTCAAAGTAATATGCAAATATGAGCCAGTCTTTCTTACAGAGTCCTTGTTAATACATAGTACATACATAAGATGACTCAGTGTTAAGTATTTGTAGCATGGCTGGAAGTTGTGTCTGGAAATACATCTTCTCTACCTTTAATAAAGCCATTTTTCAACCCAACTGTCAATACAAATTTCCCAAAGGTGGTCATAGTTGATTAAATATTATGATTGAATATGTAGAGGATTTCAATTAATCATATATTTAGAAAAACAAAAGCTTTGCGTGTAGAACAGATACTTTCCATTTTGTATTGTTAAGGGAATTGAGAATATGAAATAGTCTAGTCCTAGGTGGCGCTATCTTTGTACAACAGAAGGATTCATTCCCTTATTACAACACTGCCAGTGTTGTGCAGAAATAATGCAACAGGCAGGCTTGTCTCTTATTTTTCTTCTTGAGTTCACAAATAATTTTTCCAGTAGGATTCAGCCCTGCATTTGTTTCTGGAAAATGTCAGTACCGAGTTAAAGATCTGCGTGAGGGAAGCGGCTCTCTCCAAGTCCTGCTCCGAGGCCTTGTCCTCTTTCAGAGCAGAGCAATGCCCACACATGTCCCAGCTCGGCGCAAAACAGAGGAGAGCGATGGTGGCTGGTAGCTCGTGATTTTACAGGTAACATATTGCCACCTAGCAGCGGTTGCTGGAAGTGGCACAACACTGATCTGCACATCCATAAAAAAGTTTGCCTCCTTTTGGTTTTATGGCCTTGTGTCATATAGGACATAATGATTAGACCAGGATATACTCAGAGTCCAGAATGAGGTCTGTAGCAAAATGAGCAGGAGAATGGGATCCTCTTCGAAAACAGACACTAAAGAACCCTTACAGGCTGTAACTTTCAGCAGCATGGTGACTCTAGTCCCTGCATGTTTGACTGTACAATAAGTTCAAAAAAGCACCAAATCCTGCAAAGTTGCTTATTCATTCAAATAATCCCACTGATTTCAGTAACACTTTCTCCTTGCCTTGCTAGATCAGTACTGACCTAGGAGAATCAGGTCACCACATGAATTATATAGTATGCGCCCATCCTCTATCACTGACCCAGAAACTTGTGATGGTTTACTGGCTAAAAGACCAATGCTTCACTTTCAGATCCAAGGCTGCCAGACTGAAATATTGAATTCCAATAGGTACAGAGCTCCCAGATGCTATTTTTATCAGCTCCTTTCAGAGCCATGGAACAAATAGATAACAGATCTGGGTTTAGATCTCAGGAATTATTGGATACTAACCAACACATAACCCCACAGCCAGTTCATAAAGGGTCCCTTGATTGTAATTTTTAGGAGGCAAATATCATCAGCTCTGTGTGGAAGTGTAACAGGCTAAAGGATGGCCTAATGCATACTCCAAAGACTAGACCCACAGAACAGAGATGCGGATACTTGCATTCTATTTCTAAATTTCTGAAATCTTTCTAAAATTTAGATTTCTGGGTCCAAAGTCATGATATTCAGTTTCTCCTTACAGCCTAATCCTGGAGGCTCCCAAGTCCCATTGGTGCCTGACAACTGTGACTCATGGGAAGGGACAATTTATATCAGCTTAGCTAACAAGACTACCACCCCAGCTGTCTCTCCTGTCCTCACTGCAGATATCTGAAATACCCCTGAGCTGCCGCAGCTTTCTAAACACAGCCCTGCATGCCAAGTTAAATTTGGGTTGATTTTGTTAGTCAGGGGCTGGCTAGGGATAGGGCAGTCGCTGTGCATACCACAGAACTGCAACCTTATCAGTACTTGTATGTCAGCCCATTCACTTCATGCATCAAAGCTGCCAGCATGCAAGAATAAGGTTATTTCCCACACACTATTTGGTCACTGGACATGTCTGCAAAGGGCTCAGTTCTTCCCAGGTAGCTCCATACCCATCCTATCACAATATGTTGATTTTATGTTCTCTGTCCATGTTGTTTAAGGGTCTCTTCCTGCAGAGCTGACTCCAAGCTCCAGCAAGGCATGTCTGGAAAAAGAGGTAAAGAAACACCCACCTCTGTAGCATAGAAGTGTCATAGGAAGTATCACTCAGCAGGGCTGACACTGCCTAAGCAAACCAGCTCATTTCTCTGGGAAAAGTGCTCTGATCAGCAGGCTGCAGTGTGTGTTCTCGGGAAGCTGAGGGAAAGGAGCCCAGGCCCCCATGGCAAAAGCTGTTTCACTTGGTATAGAATAACGAAATATTCATCAGGCCAGAGAGCAGGAGAGAGGTTCAGCATGGCCACAGCTCGGTGTTTGCTCACACTTTCAGTGACCCATCAAATATTGATGTAATAATAATAATAATAATAATAATAATAATAATAGCCAGTCTTTGCGAACGAAGATTTTGGGAAAGGTCTTTTACCTTTCAAGCCTGCGCAATGGATTTTTTAGGTGAGACACAGCTTGCGCTGAACTGAGCCCACCCTTTAATCCTAAGGTTCATCTGCCGGGGCCAAGCAAGCTTGGACAATGGCAGTGAGGTCCTCAGGACGTGATGTATTTAAACATTAATACCTATGAAGTTATTGCATGACTCCATGATCTCAAAGGTATTTTCCAACCTAAACTATTCCATGATTCTATGTCCTATCAAGCAGTTTGAATAGGTAGGTAAAGTGTGTTCTTGCTGTGCAAAATCATGTCTGGTTAGAGCTCACCACTAGAAATAGTGGCCTCAGTCCAGCCAAAAGGGCTGTCAAGCCCCTGCCACGTGCTCTCACCTTTCGCTTTGTCAACACTGTCATTTGATTAGACTTTCATTTTCTCACAGAAAATATATACAGTACAAAAATATGCTTGTGCATTGTTTACCTTCCTACACAAGATAAGATCTGATTTCTCGTGAGAAAATACCAGCCCACCTCCACTGAGGGGTAGTGATCCCACACTTCTTCTTCCTCCTTCCTGGGAGCGAGAACCAAGAGCCAACTGAACTCACTGACCTGGCAGGAAACTCTTTTAGCACAGCAACTAGTTTTTGTTTTGATTTCAGGGCTAAGAAAGTGAACCAGCCTGGCTTGCTACCTGAGGAGACTGAGGGACACAAAATAGGGGAAAGAAGATGGAGAAAACTGGAGGAGGAAAGCCATCCTGTTCCAGCAGCACTGAGTTGTCAAAGGGGCCCACCTCCCAGTGGCGGGGAGGTCATTGCCGATTTGAGGAGAGGGAATGGTTTAGAAATAAGTGGTCCAGGGCAAAGCTGAGAGGTGCATGAGTGGGTACCACGCTTTTGAGGGGGCTCATTGTACTGGAAAACTGGAAATCAGCCACTGAGACAGGATGATTGTACTGGAAAGCTCGACCCTAAATCTCTTTGAAGATCTGGCTTTGTTTCCTTCCTCTTCCTTAGGTCTCTGTTGCCACTGTTCTGTAAAACTTTCAGGGAAAAAAAAAGCATCGTGCCTTTTTCTCCAAGAGCATTTGAATCACACCGAAGTAGGCCAGGTGATAATTGCACAGCATATTGTAGTGCTGCTTAAATGTCAGCTGTTAATTAAAGCCTCTCCTGAAAATGGGCCATTAATTAGGGCAAATGCAGCCATTCTTTATGGGTTCTGACTAACCAGTGAATGAAAGCATTATTTCAACTTCGTTGTGTCTGAGGTGTGTTTGCTATTGAAAGAAAAACAACTGAAAAAAATTATAACTCCTTGAACTTATTGTTCTTTCTTTTAAAGACTGTTTTAAATAAATACTCTGGCACAAGAATATTCACGCACACACAGATTGCAATAGGGAACATTTCAGTATTAGGTCCAGATGTCTCTAGCAGTTGTATAACCTTGTTAGGAATGCTGACATTAAAATACAGCTCTGACCAGCAAAAACAGCCTGTTGTGGCGCTTCACTTGTGGCTTTTTGTTCTTAAGAAAATGGCACTATCTGCATGAATAATGTTGCACAGACACCAACATGTTTGCTAAATCAGGACCAGAAAGTAAGGCATGGATTTCATTTGAAACCTTTCTAAACCACCATGAACTATTAGGGATAACCATAATATTGATAAATAAAATGTTGATAAAATATTAATCTAAGTGTTCCAGACTTAAGATATATTTACATATTTATGTATATATATATATCTCTCCAAGCCTTGCAGCTTAATCATCTTGCTTTTTGTCTCTTTGGCCTGGATTCAGCAAAGCAATTAAGTCCCTAAATAGTCCGATTGATTTCAGTGACACATAGGCAGTTGGTTGAACCAGGTCCACTCTGCCTGCATTGCTTCCTGCCTCCCAGTGTATTAGAGATTATGGAAGAGCAGTTCCAGTTATTATCAGTAGCTGTAACATGAAATCATGGTATATGTTGGCACTTCTATGCCTAGATACCTCTGCTGGAGGCCCATCTATGAGAAACTATGCAGAGATCTGGCTGAAGATTTCAGTCTTTCACAGCAGCATTGCCGCAATTCCACAAAGTGCGTGGTTGAACACACCACTGCAGACACCATCCACTGCATCCATGGCAAGGCTTCCATCCTTGGAGCAGCCAAATCTTTGCAGCTAAAGCAGTGACAAGCCCTTGATTCAGGACTAATCTCTGAAACCTGGATATTGGAAAGAATCCCCTGTATCTGCTGTGCCAGAGAGGCAACTATCGTGCATGGAGACCGGGGGGGGGGGGGGGGTGAGTCCTGTAGCCAGGATGGGCACTGGGGTGGGGTTGGGTGACACACTGACTGCCAGATCCCCAGCTCCAGCTCCTACAGTTGCTGGTCACAGAAACACTAAATTGAAGTTGTTTTTGCTTAATGCATGGTTATAGTTCCCCTTTTCACATGAAGAGATAGTGATTCTGGGTGAAATGGAAAACACTGTGATGTGAGGATTGCTGCTAAATAAGAACTGGAATATTTTTAGGTACCTCCTTTTTTAAAGTAGCATTATCCCCTTGTCTCATCTGCCATTTCATTTCTCTTTGATCTTTTCTGATCATTACTATTTGTTACTCATAATATTTTTCTAGTTTTCACACTTTACAGGGAAAGAAGAAATTGTGAGAATTAA